TATGCATCTACCGGGGTTAATCTAGCCCCAGCCTTCTTTCCTGCCTATGCAGGGGGTCGGACTCAATGATCTACTGAGGCCCCTTCCGACCCTAACATCTATGAATCTATGAGGGATAGCACCGCCCGCTGCACACCGCTCATCCGGCAGCTTAGCGGCTCATCCAGGGGCTCCTGCCACTCATCCCGGAGGGCATGGGGGGGTTCCCCAAGATCTGTGCGGGGCGGGTTGGGGCCGGGGTTGCACAGGGCTCTTCCCAACAGGGGCTAGGCCTCGCTGTGCTTAGGGCGGGCAGTGGCGGCACTGGGAGAGGGATGGGGGGCTACAGTGCAGTTTGGAGTGACTGCAGCCCGCCTACGTATCCCCCTTCCAGCACCACTGCTGCCTGCCCCAGGCACAGCCCAGCCCCACCGGGAAGAGCCCAGCACAGCCCCAGTCCGCAACAGCAGCCACCCCACCGCACACAGATCCAGGGGCACATACACCCCACCCCATGCCGTCCTGCGGTGTGCAGCAATGGGAGCTGCCCCCCTTCCCCGTGCCCCCTGGACGAGCTGCTTGGGGCTCTGTCCTGCACTAGTTGGGCAGCACCTGCCCTAGCCTCAGCCTCTGTCCCAGCCCCACTCCCTCCCTCACCACAGGGGCCTCAATCAGCACCCCCCCCACTTCCCTTCCGCCTCCCTTTCCACCACAACAGACTTTCCACCTGGACACTGGTCTTCAAGTGGCTGGGCTTGCATCGGAAATTGGATCGGTATCAGACAATATGCCTCCTTAAAAATCAGCTATAGGTATTGGCCCCAAAAAGCTCTAATGATGCACCCCTATATGCAATAAACATTTTTCTCATGCCACACACCAACCCATAAGACTAAAATTAAATTATATAGATGATGATTACATTTCCAGCAAGGGTTTTAATTAAGCCAAATGTTATTGCGGTTTGGGTTTTTTAAATTTTAATATCATACTTCAATAAACCTGAATCGTGATTAGGAAAAATACATAAAGATAAAAAGGTAATATCCACATTAATTACAGTGAAGCTTAAGGTCTGATAGTTTCTACACATAGGAATTAAGGGTCAACAGTTTGTGCACTATATCACATGTAGGGGCCTACCTAATTTTCAGGGCCTGCTCCCCTCCACCCCAGTGCCCTGATTTTGTGGGAAGAACTCAGGCACAGGCAGCCATTTTGTGGGTGGAATACAGTGGGCCTTCCATTCCTCTGACTGGCTGAGGAGACCCCAGTGGCCACGCCCCTCACTGCCTACTTGCTGCAGGGGGCTGCCTGTCATGTGGCCCTGCTCCTTGTCACTGATTGGTGGAGAGGGGCAGGGCCACATGACAGGCAGCCCCTTGCAGCCAATCAGCAGCGAGGGAAGGGAGCAGCAGCCATCTTGCCAGCAGCCCTTCAAGCAGGTAGCCTCCCCTTCCCCTCTCTGCCACCCTGGCAAGCTGCCACAGCACTCAGTAAGTCCCCTCTCTCCTCCCCCACCTCTGGATTCTGTGGGCATTGCCCAGATTTTGTGGAATGCACAAAAATCACAAATTCAACAGGTCCTGAATCACATGCAATGGACATACCACTAGCCAGATCAACAAAGGGAAAGTTGTAAGGAAGCTCCATGCAACAAGATGAAAGGGAGAACAGACAGATACTCAGTACATGGTAAAGGAAGATATGAAAGTAAATATAGTAAAATATAAATTAGCAAAGCTTACAGGATTGTCTCTTGGAATTTATTATTAAATAGGATACTAAAATATTAAATTTTGCGAAGTTTTTTTCCATCTAAACGTATCTGTCCAGTTTTAATTAAGAAATTAAGTTTACATTTTAAATGAGAAACATATCCATAAGCAATTGGCTACAATATACTTCTCACCTACACTTATGAAATAGAAAATACTAACCTTACTTGCAATCAGCCTTCAGAACTGAAAAGGAAATGTATCAGCAGTCACAAAGTCTATTCATGTCCCTTTAGTCTGATGGATAAATGAGAACAGTTTGGGGTTAGTGGGTTGGCAGTAAATCCTTATATTTTGCTCATCAGTCAAAGAAAAAAGAAAGAAAGAAAGGTTGCTCATCCAGAGCAAGTGGGAGAGTGGATTTTTGCAAGGTTACTGGAATTTATTAGGTCTATTGCATCAAGCAAAAGTCAGGTAATGTATAAAAGCTTTCCTTCAAAATGGGCAGAATTTAAGTGTGCTATTTCCCTTTTACAGCTTACCTTGAACATGCTCAGGACTCTTTGTCCACCTCACCAAAATAAGTGTCAAAGATATATACTCAGAGGAATAGAGATGAGGTAAGAGAGCACCCTCCCTCTCAATTATGTCTGTCTGTCTACATTCTATACTAATGTCAAATGACATTTTTACTACAGAATCACGCAGATATGTTTGTACCAAAGTGCCACCTAGATCACTTGGGCATAAGAGCTAGAGCATAGTAGCTGATGTGCAATTTCAAGCAGCAGCATCTCCTCCTGTTTTAAAGCAGCTGAAATGTTTATAACTCCACACCTATACAAGCACATTCAAGAACTCAATTCATACTCTGTTCAAGTGCTCTGCAACATATGCAATAGTTAGCACAGTGCCGTCACAGTTAAGTGTTGTTCTTTAAAAACGAACTAGGATTTAATTTGCTCTCTTATGCCAATACAGGATTCAAAGATTTTTCATTTTAAACAAACAGGATGATCACTCCATTATTCACACTGCAAGAACACTGCTAGCAGCTTCTGCAAAGTCCTGTCACCTTCAATATACCGTGCATCTTTTCTACATAGCTAGGTTAGATAACATATGCATGTACAGCATAGTTACCAGCATACAGAATATTAAGAAAAAGGCAAAAATCACATCAGGTTTAGTCCTAGCCAAGGCACTAACCCTCTTCATACGTTAGTTATCCTATCTAAAAATAATGATTATTGAAAATATCTGAAAATGTTGGTTATAACCAAGGCAGACAAGGTTCTTTGGGTAAATCTGATATCTTGTATTAGACCAAGTGAAATAGTTGGAAAAATTTCAGATTTTGGTGAGAAAGGTGGTTAGAAAGGAGGCGAAAGCCTCCAGCAAGGCAGCAGCCCCTGACTTCAGGACGGCGGACTTTAATGAGGTAAGAAAACTAGTGGGGGAAGCACTGAGGTCCCAGAGCTGGAGGGAGTTGAGTGTTCAGGAGGAGTGGTCACTCCTTAAGGAGATGATCCTCCAAGCTCAAAGGGAAGTAATCCCTACACAAATCAAAGGGGGCAAGAGGGCGCAAAGGCCCCCATGGCTCACCAAAAGCATCCGGGAACATCTCCAAACAAAAAAGGAGGCGTACACCCGTTGGAAGGGAGGGGCCATCACAATACAGGGCTGTACCTCGGTAGCTCAGGAACGTAGGGGGGCAGTCAGGAAGGCCAAGGCGGAAATGGAGCTGGGACTAGTGACCCAGATCACGGACAACAAGAAGTCTTTTTTCAAATACATAGGGGGGCAAAAGAAGGTGCCAAGTAACATGGGGCCTCTGCAGGACACGCTAGGAAATCTGGTCATCTCACCCGACGGTAAAGCTGACATATTCAACAATTTCTTTATCTCCGTATTTCTGAGGAGGGACCCGAATATCTCCCCCACTGGCACCCCCGAGGGCCCTGTGGGTGGCACACCCAGGCCTAGGGTTAATGAGGACCTCGTCAGGGAACTTCTGGAGGGACTAGATGTATTTAAATCCGCAGGTCCTGATGATCTCCACCCCAGAGTGCTGGAGGAACTAGCAGGGGTCATTGCGTGACCTCTGGCACAGCTCTACAAGCACTCATGGCACTCGGGAGATGTGCCAGAGGACTGGAAAAGGGCCATGGTCCCCATCTTCAAAAAAGGGAGGAAGGAGGACCCAGGAAACTATAGGCCTGTGAGTCTTACCTCGGTCCTGGGGAAGCTTTTCAAAAGAATTATCCTGGCACATGTCCAGGAAGGGCCAGCAGGGGAGGTTATGCTCAGGG